TTCAATTCAGCATAGGCCACAGCAAAAAACATGAATCAAACCATCCCTTACACATTTCATGTGATCGTACTGGTATATCGCATACCCCAATGTTTCACCGCATACTGTATTAGAATTTGATGGTTGCAGTAAGGTTGGCAAAAAGGGTATTTTAGGACTTTAGGATTTTTCGGATAGCTGCTCCGAAAATTGTCACTTAATATTAATCACGTCCAAAAAAGCGAAATTTAGTTAATTCCATATTCATTCCTAAATTTTAGACTATTTTTCAGGAATTTGGAGCATTCTAGAATAAGCTCAAAAATTTTTAGGACGTCCGAAAACCAACTAGACTAAAATTTGAAGCATTCTAGAATAAGCTCAAAATTTTTTATGACGTCCGAAAACCAACTTTGGTTGCAAGGCTAAATAAATGCTTTCATACAACGCATTACTATCTTAAGTCAACTCTTTTTTTTAAAAAAAAAAAACAAAAAGCAAAAAAAAAACAATAGAGATGGGTTCTTCAACCTCAAAGTTGAAATATCCTCATTTAGTAGCGTCAAATTTTCCAATTACCAATGATGGCGAAACTATTACTTTGAGTGATGGTAGATTAATGGGATTTAAAGAATACAAATTTTTCCATAACCTTACCGACAATACCATATCTCTACGTAATCAAGAATTTGTGATTCTTTCGATACCTGGAATACCAGGCTCAAGATTTTTCACGCATCCTTCATTATTATCAAAAGAAAACGATGAAAATATTAACACTAGTGAAAATAATGATGAAAATAAAGCGTTGATAAGATTAATCGTATTAGAAAGACCAGGATTTGGACTTTCAACATCTGCCAAAAGAAATTTTATTGATTTTTCTAATGATATAAAAGAATTTTGTCAACAAAAAAATATTAAAAAATTTTCTTTAATGGCATATTCTGCAGGTGGTCCTTTTGGTTTAGCCGCTGCTTATTCTCTAGGTAAACAAAATGATAATTTAAATGGACCTATAATTAGTAAACTCGCAATTATTAGTTCAGTTGCACCATATAATGCTCCAAATGCGACAAATAAAATGAATTGGCAACTTAAATTTGCTTGGTAATTATTTTTTTTCATTTATATATATACATTTGCTTTAATGCAATGTCATTTGTATTTTATAATAATCATTCCATTCATATTTTACCTAAGGTGGTTAGCTAAAAATAGTCCAAGTTTATTGTCAATTATAGCACATCTTGAATCAAAATCTGCATTAAGTGATCCAGTAAAGGCAGCATCTGAAATTCTATTACTTGGTCCACCAGATGATAAGGAAGTATATGAAAAATTTCCAGAAATTGAGGAATTATTTATTAAAAGTAGTTTGGAAATGTATACTAGAGGTCAAGTTGAAACAGCATGTTGGGAATATAGTTTATGGGGAAAGGATTGGGGATTTAATTTGAACGATATTGGGAAAGGTAAAGATGGGAATATAGGTGTTAGATATAAAGTTTGGCATGGTGAAGAAGATTATGGATGCACTATTGATATGGGTAAATATATTGCTGATCAAATTAAAGGATGCGAGACTTGTTTTGATAAAAAGTTAGGACATATGGTATATTTTACCGCTTGGGATGATATTATCGACTGGTGTATTATGGATCAATAACTTCTAACTACAGAGGACCCCGTTAATATCAACCTAAGTTATAAAATGAATTCTGTATATTAAAATTATATTAAAAATTCCTCATATATATCAACTTTAATATGATCCCTCGCTAATATCACTATCAACATGAATATAAAAGCAATCCAAATAGGTTGATATTAATGAGGGTTCTCTGTATTTACTGTAGTTATTTGACGATGTTTGTGTACTTCAAAGTATTACTATTACCATAAATATTAATTTATTTATTTATGTGATCCTAAGCATCGAAATCTTTTGGTTATATGTATACGTATAAAACAATCCTTTCATTGAGTTGGGAGTGGAATCGATTCTAAGTTAGTCGATTTGCTTGTTAAAACAAACTTAGAACGATTTTAAAAAATCGACTCTAATCATTGAAATCGATTATAAATGACTTTTTTTTAACCATATGTTTGTCTTTAACTCATCCATATTCAAATAACTCAAAGTGATGTAGAATAAGTGTCACAAATTTTGAAATCCGGGAAAATTTGCTTTCCTTAATATGTAATTTACATGTGTAATAAATTTCTGAAAAATAAATTTATCTCTAAAGCATTAATATTACTACTAATAACCAGCTATAACAGGACCCCGGATAATTCTAAGGTAGGTGGGGGGTAAAAAAGGGTAGATTTTTTGGGCCGAACGTGTCTAAATTCTGGTCAAAATTAAAATTTAATTTTAATTTTGACCAGAATTTAGACACGTTCGGCCCAAAAAATCTACCCTTTTTTACCCCCACCTATCTTAGAATTATCCGGGGTCCTACTATAACTAGGCAGTTAACTTCGAAAGATATTTGTAAAATAATTTTATAATGCTTAGATGCAACGCTGTGCAACTGATGTATGCTCAACAATTTTTATAACGAACCAATTATTCTTGTAATAACAATTTCGTTACATAAAACTTACTATGTTTTATACTCTAAATAAATGATAATCAGAAAAAGCTTGAATAAAATTTAGGTCAAACGTAAGCACTCACCATTTGCAACTGGGTGGTCAAAATTACTAACAACGCTAGTAATAATATTCATGATATAAGCCAGAGATGAAAATTTTTAACGCTTTAATATAATTTTAATAAAAGGCTATAATTTTGTTAGTAATTTGACTTATTCTGATCATTAATTTAGAATAAATTCTAATAGTTAATCCAACTGCACAGAATATGTAGGCAATATTGGCCATCATCATCTGAGCTAGAGAAGATACGTACTCGAAACGAAACCTAGTTTCGGAAAGCTCTAATCAAAAAAAAACCGAAACCCCGAAAACCCGAAACTATAATCCAAACCTCAAACTATAATCCGAAACTTTTAAAAATTATAATATGGTTCCGGCAATCTATAATCGCCAATCATGTGGAATGTTTCAATTTTCTCGTGATCGTGATTTACCAATAAAATCGCATTACAAAATTGGTATAAAATCATAGATAGTGCAACGAAATGTACAACGTTACATTTTTAAATATTTTGAGTATTTTTAACGATAAACTTCTATTTCTTAGATCAAATTACAAAGAATACAAATTAAGCGGAAGGGATAAAAAAAGTAGAGCCCCAGGAGATAAAAATATTATCCTTATAAATTATTTTATTCAAACTCTATTTGTTTTTCGACATTTTCGGGAAGACGACAATGAGTTTTATATTTATTAACGGCCCATTCTGCAATCCTTCCTTCTAAACCTCTATTGTAGGCATCCAGGATTTACGTGCGAATTTTTGAATTTTTGACACAGGAACACTAACAAGAGCCTTAGGAACTTGTTGTATTAGGTCAACATAATTATACTTGCATAATCTTCTTGTCTCACATTTTACATACCCCAATACCTCTCTATAAAATTACACTCACAATGAAATTTAGGATACCATTCAAAAATATGTCTTTTTCCAAGAATCACTTCTTCTAGAATTGATTTCTGCTCACAGAAATCAGGTTGCTATAATATTATTCTTCATGCACAACAACCCAACCTTTCTAGATTTTTTTTTATTTTTTCCTAAATACTTTTCACACACCAATTGAACATCTTCTGATGGCCACAATTTTATGCTCTGTAAGTACTTGTTTTATTTCTTTTGGCACCTCTCGCAGTATTTTTACTTTATAATCATTTGAAAATATCATCAGATCTGTGATTTTCTTTCTATTTTTATTGACATACCAATCATCATATAATTTAGATTGTACTTCCCTAGAACCCAGATTCATTTTTGTTGCAACCAATGCATTTTCTGCCATTGCATTATGATTTGATAATTTGTCAAAACAGAAAACTTCAACATGATCAGGGTAAAACATCTCAAATATTAGAATTGCTTGTTGTACAAGTTGTTCCAACATATGCTTTGATTTCTAGTATCCATTTAACTATATAGAACAAGAGATAATGCCTCGTTATACTTTAAATATGAATTTGCTTTCATTTGTCTTAGTATCTATAGTATAGACAGAGGAAGATTAAAACTATAATAGAGCATCCTTTATCTTTTGAATATAAAATATCTTCATTTTTTTCTATCTTTTTTTTTTTTTAATTATTAGCAGCCTTGCTGGTATCTTTATTAGATCAAAGTATATATATACATATACGTATTAACTATCTAAGCTATAGATTTGACATCTTTCAGTTACCCCTAGAGGTGCCCAAGAGTAGTCTACCTCACCAGATAAGGCTTATGCTCACACCAGAAGCTGTACTAAGCTAGCCTGCAAAACTATATCAGAATGTTTTTGCTTTATTTACAATGTAATTTTTAATCAACTCAAAACAGAACATATTTTTTTGTTTTTTTCCTCCTCTTTTACTTTTTCTTCTTTCTTCTTTACTTTTCCCTTAGTTTGATCTTGATTATTGAAAAACTCTCCTGTAGTTTTGCATGACTGCTTTGCATTATTATCAGAGCCTTTTTTCAGTTTCCATCTATGCTTCTGTTTGGTGTCTATACCTACAGTTTTTTCCCACTTGTTAATAGCTGAACATCTATGCTTCCAGATATTCTCATAGAAAAAATTCTATGCTAAGTTTACTGCTATTTCTAAATAATTCTTTGCTTTTTTTAGTAGCTTTATAATGGCAAGAAATTTTCTAACAACCTCTTTTTAGATTAAACCTTTGAGGATACCAACTCTTGTTCTGATCTTTTCTTCTCTTGATAGATCCCATAAAGTGTTTTTGAGTTAGATTTTGCTAAGCTAGCTCCTCATCTCTGTAAATAGAGTTGCCCAAGCTATATTTGATACAGTATGTTCTAATTTTTTTTTTTTTTTTTATGCTTCTCATATTTTGTTAGATGGAACTGTCTTTCTCTTCATTTTTCTCACAAATTATATAACAATAAGTTTTCATAGAGATCTGATCTTCTGCTAGCCAAAGTTTTAAGTACTGGTAATCTTTTATGTAGACACTTGATTAGTATTCCTAACCATTAGTTTCTCTTTGAGCTAGTACATCTGATTCCATTTTGGCTTTTAATTTTTCTCTATAAAATCGGCCAGTAATTTATTTCTGATATGTTATTTGGTTCTTCTTTCTGTATTGCAGTTGATGTTCTCTTGTCTAAACTTATTTGGAAACAAAGGACTGTTTGTATAAATTGTTTTGTAAAGTTTTTTACTGTTTTACCTTCCAACACAAAAAGACGTTCGACTCCTAAAGAGTTTTCTCTACTATATTATCTTTATCTTCTATCTTAATACCTAATTTTGCTAAACTATCTGCTAGATTATTCTACCTATTTTTACTGTCCTTTTACTTTTACTAATTCTAACTGTATTTCCTTAATCTTAGCTAAATTAACTATACTACTCACTAAACTATAATTTTCTTTCTTAAAAATTTTTCATGTCATTTTTTTAACTTCTCTCTCTTCTATACCTTCTATTGCTAAACACTATCTGTATAAATCTTCATCTTTTTTTTTACTTAGTACCAAAAGAAGCATGTACCAAATCCTAAGTAATTTAGCTTTTGTTGATCAATAATTAGAACAATTGTTAAATAAAACTTGTAATATTTATAATAAATAATTAATAAAAATAAGTTCGCTCTTTTCTTTAAACTAGACTTACCTTTTATATCAATAAGTTATTGTTTAATAGATAGTTATTGTTCGATAAATGATAATTGTTAATTAAATATATATAAGCATTTCTATATTTTTATTTTAAGTTATCAAAATGCCTCATTTAACTAAAGTTCGTAGAAGTTGTAAAAATGCACGTCTTGCAAAAGTATCCAAGCCAAATAAACCTATTCAACAACAAATACCAACTTTTCAATTAATTCCGATTAAAAATAATTCATTAAACTTATTAGAAATTGAAAATTCAGTTAATCAACAACAGACTTCAACCTCTCAATTAACTGCCTTACGAATAGAACGAATAAGAAAAGATTTAATAACAAAAATCAATTACTTATCTGAAAAAGAACTAATAGCTAGTTCTCAGTTATTTAGTAATATAGTATATAAAACTGGAATTTATAAAGGAAAGATTTTATCATCTTACTTGCAGAAAAAAGCCGTAGAGTTAATATATGCAAGTCAAGGAAAATCTAATTCTAATTTTCAAGAAACGATTAAATCATTAAAAGCTGAAAACTTAAAATTAACAAAAAAATTAGATCATTTAACTCACAAGATAGAATCCTTAACACAAAAGCTTCGATACTTTAAACGATCTAAAAATAAGCATATATCTAAAATTAGATCTGTTGTCCGAAAAAAGACAAAAAATTTCTAATAAAA